GGATTCTAAGTGATCAAGGGCTTAGGATGTTCCAATTCAGCCCATGCCAAGGGTTCCGCCAGTAGTGGGCACTCATACAATGTAATCAATGACGTACATCCGAGTAAACGAAATGGAGGGAAGTTAGCAAGTGAAGGGCATAAAAAAATGGACTGGAACGCAGCCATTATGGGAGTGGAAGATACCAAATATGGTGAGAAGGAGGTTGAATTTAGTATTTATTGATGTTTATATTTTTGAATTTCAATAATTATAGCTGAAATTAAGATAGTATGTTTTGCTGTGTTACTTGTCTTAATGTGTTTGAGGAAAATTTTTCATATTTTATTATTTTGGTGTTTTACAACTATTGAGAATGGTGATACCCACGTCTATAAATGCTCACCTACTAGGTTGGCAAGTTAGTCTGTGACTAATGTGTAGTGAATGAAGCTGGTGTTGGAGAGTACGGTTATTGAGTCATGGTAGTACCTGAGCCAAGGTCTATGTCTGTCATTTGGTTTATTTTCTCCTTTTTTCACATGAGTCTTGAAGTTGGACTTTTGTACGCATTTGAAACTTTTTCCCCTTTTTGAATTTGTCATGTTTTTGCACAAGTGGCACATTGTAACATTGCACTTTACTGTCTTGGGAGCAAAAGAAAAAAAGAAAAACTGGCATTTAACATCCTCCATTCATTTTTGAGACTTTTTTTCTAACGATATCCCCAGTTGATGATCACTGACAAGGAGAATCATGATTAATTGCTTTCTTTTGCTTCTGAAGTGAAATATGACCCAGGCAAATTCCTGACAGGTGAGAATCATATGCTTTTCTTTATGTTTTGTTTATTTAGTCACTCAAATTTTCCAACTTAAGCAAGACATAAAATACTACTTTTTTATTATTATGAAAACAACACTCTGTGACATCATTAGTGATATTAGTATCACTTTACTGTTATATTTTCATAATTTATGATGAGAAATATTTTAAAAACTCATCAAATACAAAGGTATGTACAATATATACAATAACTAGTTTCTAGTGCTCATCCACCATTTTCTCTAGTTCATTTATCCAGTCGTATGGACACTCCTCTTCAAAATCCCTGCAGTCAGGAGAGTAATGTGAGTTTTACAGTAAACAATGGGCTGGGTGGAGATATAAGTACTAACAGAGGAAAAACAAGAGAAACTCACGTGTCTTCATCATCCGAGCGCGGCTCCAGTCTACTGTAGTCTGTGATCGTCTCCTCTGGGCCATCCACTTTGTCTCCATGCTCTGGGGTCAAAGAGCACGATGACAAAATAATCAGAATATGCACAAGCACCACATGTGTTAGACATTTATTTTAAAGAAGACAGCATTACAGCACATTACCAGCTAACATTTAAACATACAGATAGATAAATATATAAAGAAACAGAAATAGATTTCTAAAAAAGGAATGTTGCTTGCTTTGATATTTTGTATCTATTGAAGTGACATGTGGCTTAAATGTCTTTACTCCACACTGCTCTGCTGTGGTTGTTATCAGTGTTGTAGCGTGTGAACCAATCAGACACACAATTATTTGTTATATTCAACAAATAATCCC